AAATAAATAGAAATATGTTCATTTGAAAGTCTTTAGGGTTCAAGGGGAACGATAACTAACAATCAACATTGCATACAAAGCAAAATTGGAGGTTTGTTATTGTTACATTGAATTATGATTACAACAAACAAACATCTTGGTAAACATGGTAAATTCACTTTTCGTTGTCACCTTTCCTTTAATACAAAGAAGTTTTGATACTGGTATATTGATTATTATTATCTTTATTATCTCATTGCCGTCATATAATTTTACATTTCGTTCATTGAGTATTATCAACAAATTAGTATTGTATATCCAAGAACCAACATAGAAATGTATTTACCCACCAAGATAATAAGATAATGCAAGTAAAACATTATTCAAGTTTGGATTGAGGGCTGAAAATTTTTAACAGTTCTGTTTCAGAATGTTTTGGTATCCAATAAGACATTATTACCAAATTAAAATTTTTTTGATTTTTTGTGTTTTGACTCGGATTCTTGAACCAGAGTCATAAAAAAACAATCAAAAGAGTTTCATCCCGAATCTTTGGTTACATTTTTGGGTGTTTGAGGTATACTCCCTGAATTTCAACATTTGTCATCTGATGCCGGGACACATTATGCATGTAATCTCATTTTGGCGTAAAATTTCCAAATTTGAAAGATTATTTGAAGATGCATACAATTTTCATGATGAAGTCAATGATCAATGCTAAGCCCATTTTCAAATTCTTTTTTTCCTTTTTTTTTTTTTTTTTTTTGAAATGTGAAAAAAGGGTTTTCTCTAAAAGGTAGTGATTATTTCTACTTGAACTTTTTTTAATGTTGATTTCTCTGAGTTGGATTGAATATGGCTAAACCTTAAAGATTTTAAAAAAAAATAACAAACATTTTTAAACCTTAACCTCAAACACAGGGGTCAATGGATGATCTGTATTTGGGATAATTATAGTAGCACACTAACCCAAATCATCTGAAACAGTTAACTAGGGTACTTTAAATGTAACCTTAACATAGCCCCCTACCTCACTAAAATTCATTTAGGATGGAAGTTCCAGAGTCAACCCTTTTCCCCTTTGTTTCAAAGTTTAAAAAAGCGTTTCAGTTTATTTTGTTTTTTTTTAAAAAAGGATTCACCTTACCAAAGTTCTGTTTCTCGATGTGAATTAAATGTTATTTGTTGATGTTGTTGATGTATCATTGTATCATAAATAATGATTAAGGATTTATATTTTCATCCGTGGGTACGTGGTGTTTTTCAAACAAACAATATTAAGCATATACCTAAAAATAAAAACTTGAAACTTCAATTTAACATTTTTTTAATTAACATTTTTTACTTTTTTTTTTTTTATTTATATTTATTTTTCGATGAATCAAGCTAATCTGTTGTGAAAACAGGAATTTGATTAAATTAAAAGCAGGTGTTTCTTGTTTGATCAAGTTCCACCATTTGACGTAAATTTCTTGTTTTGCCCGATCCTCATGTTTACTGATTTACGTTTAATGCGCAAATAAAAAAATAAAAATAAATTTGCACAGAATGAAATTTTTTTTTTTTTTTTAATTTCCTTTTGGGAATAAATGTGCCTAAAAGGTAAAAATCATTGAGAGAATGAAAGAGATTATTTTGAGAAGTTCCTCTTTTCAGAGTAATAGTCATATAGTAAGTAGTATTGCTTTGGAATAATAAATCGTGAAACATCATCGCGAAATAACATAACTATTGTTCTGAACAATACATAATATTACCAAAACGGGTAACCATAATAATGGATTTCAAAAATTTTTGATACAAAGGAGATGTTGATCGACATCAATTTTGACCAAAAAGTTTTAACGCTTCAAATTAAACTCCGAGAAAGAATTTTTATTCGTAATTTTTCGTGAGAATTGATTTATTTTTAATTACTCTGGTGATACCGTGTATCGTGTAATATCAGTTGTTATCAATTATTAAAGAATTAATATTATTTTTTAAAAGAAAATAACATAAAGTAAAACAAAAACGTTGTGAATCATTTCGGCCGTAAAGTAATAATATGTGATTGATTTTTTATTCAAATTATTCAAAATAGGAAATCGCGATGAGAGTACAATCTCAATTAGGCGTTATTAAATTTTTGAGATTGATTTGCATTTAGATTAACCTATTATAGGTTAAATGGAGAAAAAATTCAATAATTTGTTTTAATAATTAAAGGTGGGTTTTTTTTTTTTTTTTTTTTTTTTTTTATCAAATAGGATTTTGTTTATCCCGTAAACTAACAAGTTTGTTAAAAACAGAATTTTTGTGTTTTCAAACCTTCCAAATGAAATGAATTTCATACAAAACTCTTTAGGTTTAGCTTGACAAAGTGAAAGAATTATCAAACGGGGCTTAACTTCTCGTGGAACGTTTTAATGAAGATTTTCGGAATGATATGGCCGATGCGTTAATGAAGGAAAACTCTTAAAAAAGGAAACCCTCTCTTTATTTCATTTGTGAACTTTTTAAAGTAAAGGCATGCATAAAGGTTTCTTTCTAAAAAAGGATTCCGTAGATTTCCCCCTTACGATGAATAAACAAATACGATATATACGCGACTATTGATATAATGTCAAAAATCGATAGGCAAACAATACGGGCAACATAAAAAAAAAAGTTTTTCAATTGATTTTCAATGTTTTTTTACACAAGCTATGTCAAAATAAGCAGGGCTATTTATTTACTTTTGAACTACAAATAATTCATAAACCCTTGAATTCTGATCATAACTTGTTATTCATCGTGATAAGTCTTTTTTTTTTTTTTTTTTTTTATGTATATACAGTGTATATTTGTATTAACGTTTCCATGATTAAATTCGTACCTAAAATCTTATCGTTAATAGATTTTCATTAGTATTTATTTACCGATAATCAAAAGTTCATGTTGTACAAAGAACGCCCTAGTTTTAAGGTTTGGGCAACTCAAATGTTTCGGGTTTGGGGTTGCATGCTAAAGTTGGCTAAAATTGTGAAATCCCTTGGATTTTGGTCTGGTAAGTTGTTAATTCGTATCTTGGTCAAATCATTGATGAGAAATTTTTGCGTCATGAAATTGTGTTGATTGCATCACGAATTATAATCGCGAGTTTTGAAATTTCTGACAAACGTCACATTGAATATGATCACGTGTTTGAATCATCCATCATCCGCTGTAAATATTTTTTATTTCTTCGAAACTTAAAAATCTTAATTATTAAAAAAAAAAAAAAAAAAACATATATGTTCTTACAATCTTATAAAATCTTAATTAAAACTTATTAGCCGTATATATATATATATATATAATTTTTACATTTTTTTTTCTTATATGTGTTCACATAAAATATTCGAAATATTAATTACGATGTTCATGAACTAATTTTTCCGAAAAAAGAAATAACGAAACGAATAATGGTGAAACGACATTGAACCATTAATCGATTAATTATAATGGACGTAACGATCAAAGATTTGTTCGTAAGGATCGGTCAAACTTGAGCGATCGTCAAAAATGATAATTAAATCGTCGCTCTCGGTTAATGGTTGTGTCATCGTTCCAATACGTATTAACCTTTCATCGTTTGCGTACTTAATGAAAGAATTTTTAATGTGATTTGGAAGTGACTTCCAAAATTTAGCGGCTTTGGCGATCCATTCTCTCTGCGAGCGACAATTTTCGTACTCCTCCTGAAACGTTTCTTTATAAAAATTACAAAAAGTTATATAACCATTTTCAATGGTTATTTTTTTTGAAGAGGTAGGGGGAGGGGAATTGGGAAGAATGAACTTATTTTTCATGACGATGAAATATATGTTTGAAAATGTTAATAAAAAAGAGAAGCGTTTCCCAGAAACCGATGAAATAAATATGTCTTGGAAATCGTTTATATAGACATTTTTTTTTTTTCATAAATAAGTTCTCATGTAAGAGTTTTCCCCGAATTATTTTCACCAATTGAAGAATAAAAGAGAACGTACAACTTGCTCATTATGTTTTCGTTGTTTCGAAAAATGGAAATAACAATAATAAAAGGAAAGAATCATTATCATTAAAATAAAAAGAAAGAAAGAAAGAAAAAAAATTTTTTGCTTGAAAGTACATTGTCAAACGCGTCAAAAGAATGCATACCCATAATACGTGATTTAAAATAACAAAGTCGGATGGAAAAAAGAAAAATCTTGCAGAGATGAAGGAAAGTGATCGAGAGCCGGTTAAGGAAACTAATGAACAATCATTTTTCGTGTTCACATATCCTTATTACTTACATCATAGATGATGTTATTTATCATATGATAAATGTTGAAGAATCCGAGTTAATCAAATTTGTAATGAGAGAGGAGAGAAATTTTTTTTTTTTTTTTAACAAGGAAAAATTCTTTAAATAGCAAAAGTACCCGATGATGCAATTTGCAAGTTGTTCGCTTGTTCAACACCTTAAATTGATTTTAATCAAAACAATATAGTCATAAAGGAAAGGGTCTAGTAAGAATTAGTAAGGATAATTTTTTTTTCATATTTGACGTGGTTAGAAAGTCCAAGTTTATTAAATCAAAATGATGCTACAGTTAAAAGTTGGGATATGCTGATTTTTTTCTGATTGTTTTCTCTCTTTTACTCAGATGGGTAAATATGTTTGCAAATCACATTTGATGCAGGACGCAGGAGAGAAATTCCGATCAAGCCACGTTTTTTTATACGAACAATTCTTGTATGACGAATTTTTCAAAATGAACCGAAATTAAATTGCCACGTCCAGATTAAGCGCGTGGCGCTTCGGAAAGGGGAGTGATAATTGGAACGAGTTTATCGAATCGAAATGCGGGCGCACTTTACTTTTTTATTTTTATTTTTATTTTATGTTTGGCTCTTTGATAAAAAATGGTTAATAAGTCTTTTTCGCTGGATATGACGACATTATTATATGTAGACGCTCTGAGTTTAAACACCGTGAAAGAAAAAGAAGCTCATGAAATCTAAATCCCGTTTATTATTTACGAATTTGAAAGGAAAACAAGATTCATCATACCGCAGTAAATCAAAAAAGATTTGATTTTTAAAAGTTTTTAATAAATTAATAAATAAAATTTTTCAAAAAGGTATTTTTTTTTTTTTAATACGATGATACCATTCAAAAAAAAATAATGATTATAGTTTGACCATTGAGGCGTTTTTACAATGTCCCTTTGATGACCTTTTGAAGAAAAATCGGGGATTGGCTGCTGATCAGATGCAGATTGTCACAAGAAATTGTGATCTTTGGCCAAAGTTATCTGATAATTTAACTGCTTTTAAACTCAAACTTTAAGCGTGTCCTAACTTTAATTAGTTACCTTTTAGGACGGAGTTTTCAATATCAAAAGAATTTCAAGTTTCTGCCTTTTGTGTTGATCAAAGTAATAATTTGTTAAATGCGCCACTTCACTTTAAGCAAACCTTTGTATTATTATTTTATCACGATGATATACATCGAACAGAAATCGAGAATTCTTTTTTTTAAAAAAATCGATTTTAAAGCGTTCGTTGATTCTTTAATTACGCGTTTATTTTATGATCTAATATCGTATATGAAACAAATTAATAAAAAAAGTTTTTGAACAACTCATTATGGTAAAATTACTATTTTTTCCAACTTTTACTTTATGTTCACGTGTGTATGGAGAATCTTTTGCATAAAGGACGACATGGGATCTCTTTGAATTCCAAGTTTCTTTGAATGCTATAAATAACCTCATCATTATACGTTGGAACTTTGAATGCTATAAATAACCTCATCATTATACGTTGGAATAATGTAAAATACCATAAGAAGAAATTTTTAATTTATCGCGAAATAATATGTTTCATGATGGGAAAATGAAAAAGATCCTTGTATTCCATTTTTCATACAAAACCTTTAAATTGATGCATGGTTCGATATATCAACACGAGGTGATTACAAAAAAAAAAACAAATTAATTTCTCCCAAACCTTTCTTTTGGGCTTTTCTTTTCCATTTCAGTTCAGGTGATGTATTTCCGAACGAACAATTGCAATTTTACGGATGATAAAAAGGTTTTGATTAATAAATTGCTTTGCTTTTATATATGATCCAAAGGCTATAAATAATTCAAATTCCCATTTTTTTTTTTATTCAGATCGTTTCAAAGTTATATAATATATACATCCTTTCCCATTATCTTTAAAAATAAAAAAAAATGCCACAATACAAGTCTCGTAAAATGACACGTAGAGGTCCCAATGCATGGATCTTGTATTCGAATTGGTTCTACAAGAATAAACGTGAAGCCGGTCTAATGATTAAAAAAAATGAGGCCATAAAACTGGCAAAAATAGAATGGGAGAAGATGGAGACCACTGAAAAACAAAGGTGGTTTATAAAGGCAGATCGCATCAGAATAATCTGTCATCTTATCCCTCAAATCGACCATCGAAACATTGCCAATACTGAATACGTTAGTAATTTTGATGGGCCTTTTATTATTGAAGACTTATCACCTACCTCGGATATGAATCAGTTAAATGCTAAAAATATCGTTGCTCAGATTGAAGATGATGAAAGTAAGAATGAAGAAGAAATTTTCAAATTTATGTATGAAAGTTTCATTAATGATGAGTATTGCGAATAATAAATTCACTTATATTTTTTATACATAGCTAAAGGAATGAATTATTTATGTAAAGTTTTTTTTTTATGCTTCTATTTTTACGTTAGCATTTATTATATTTAGAATTTATAGTTGCAAATTATGCAAATAGAAATTTTTTTTTTAAGAATTATAAGGGTTATAAGGACAATTTTTCATGAAGTATATAGAAAAAAAAAAATTAAGAATTATAAATAAGAATTATCAAGGACATTTTTATTAAGAATTTAAGAAAAAAAAAAAAAATTTAAAGAATTATAAGGAAACATTTTCAATATGTAGGAAAAAAAAAAATTTTTTTTAAGAATTATAAGAATAATAAGAATAAATAATAAGGGAAATTTTTAAGATAAATTAAATCAAAAATTCGCCATAAGGAATATTAACAAGTCCACCATCGTTTTTGTCATATACAATTTTCCCCCTAACAATAGTTTTATGTACAACACCAAAAATTTGTCTACCAAGATATGGAGTTACTTTATTTTTAAAATGAATGATATCATTTGTAACCTACACAAAAATAAATAAATAAAATTATGATTACTGTCTTTTATTGAATAAAATAAAATAATAAATGCGGCTTACTTCAAATTTTTCTTCGGGATTCCAAATTACCAAATCGGCATCAAACCCAACTTTAATTTCACCTTTTTGATCCTGTAATCCAACTTGCTTTGAAGTATTCTTTGATAACCAAGTGGTTAATTGGTTTAAACTAATTTCAAATAATCTTAGCGATAAATCTTTTTTAAATTAAGCAAACATATTCATTTAATAATTTATTACCTGACACCTCTGTTTTTTGCCTCAGTCCATAATAACGGCAACCCAAATTGTAATGTTGAAATGCCACCCCAAGCTTTTATGAAATCTCTTTCTTCCTCTTTATCATTAAATCTCTTTAATTCGGCTGTACACGGTGAATGATCTGATACTACATAATCAATAGTTCCATCCAACAACGCCTTAAATAAAATAGTAATTAAATCAACTTAACAAATTAATATTTCCCTTATCCCATACCTTAAAAGACAAATAAGAAAAATACTTCACCTGCCAAAGTTTCTCCCGATTACTTTTTTCGCGAATAGGAGGGCAGCATTTAAATTCTGTTCCTCCATTAGGTATTTCCTCAGCAGTTAAACATAAATAATGAAAGCAAGTTTCCACTGTTAAATTATTCCCATCAGATTTAGCTTGTTTAATTAATGGTATAGCATCTGAAGCTGATAAATGTACAATATGAGTTCTTATATTTTTATATTGCTTGGCAAGATCTATTACTAATGATATAGCATTTACTTCAAGTGATTGTGGCCTACTCAATAAAAATTTTTCATAATTTTTAGGTGGAATTTGTTCATAATATTCTTTTAATTCTGTTTGGTGAATATTAGTATTGTTTCCTTCCATTTCTGCATGAAACATGACAAATGAATTTTGCCCCTAAATTGATAAAACATTACATTAACTTTGTTTTGTTCTTGGTGGATGTCATCAAATATAATGATTACCTGCAATTTTTCGAATGCTTTTCGAACGTCTTGTTCGTTTACACGAGGAAATTCTTCAACCCCACTATCGATCAAAAAACATTTAAATCCTTTTACACCTTCCTTTACTAACGGAACTAGATCATTCTAATAATAATAAATAATGTTCATAAATAGTAATGTTAAATGATGGCATTTAAAAAATAATAGGACCAACCTCATTTTCTGGTATTATACCGCCAAAAAATCCGACATCCACCCAACATTTTCCTTGTGCAGCACGAATCTTTTCTTGTAAATTATGAACATTCGTAGTAGGAGGGATTGAATTCAATGGCATATCAATCACAGTTGTTACACCACCTGATAAAATATTAAAAAAATGTTGGTGTGAAAACTTAAAAACTTTATTGTAGAGAGTTGAATTGATGTGATACCAGCTGCTGCAGCTTTAGTTCCGCTTTCAAATCCCTCCCAATCAGTTCTGCCGGGTTCATTTAAATGTACATGGGCGTCAATTACACCAGGCATGATAACGTTATTTCCAACGTCAAAAAATTGATTCTGATCATTATAATCGTTAATTGATGCTTTAAAAGAATGAACTTTTATGATTTTTCCTGTAATTTTATCGATTTCAATTGTACCAGGTGTAGT